ATCAATTCTAATATCAACAAAATGCCCAAAGAAATCAGTAATATTTTTATCACCTAATGTATTAGGAATAGAAACAGAACAGGCTGATGTATATTTAGATGATTTTTGATCTTCTCTACCACATGGACAATTAACTTCTGATTCATATGAATGTGAATCTCCTGCATCTAACGTATTACCTTCACCATTACTAATAAACGCACAATCAATTCTTCCTTCACATGCATAATTATTTAAGAATTTTTTGGGGCATAAAATAATTTTTAATGGACTACAACCAACATCAAAGAAATCTTGGTCAAGAGAATTTTTACTATCATCATCAGTACCGGAAGTACTAATACTTGCAATTGCACTGCAAGTTTGTGCATCACCTGTTTGAGTATAAGAAATATGACTAGCGTCAAATTGACTCACATCTTCCAAATCAAAAATAGTTTTATAAGTAAATACAGCCATATCATATTTCAATTCTGCACCTTCAACAAATTTTATTTTTGAATCTTTACTTATTGTAATATGAGACTGTGTCTCGTTGTTTTTATGAATCACAAGACTATTAATATTAATTGTTGAATCATTTCTAATTGTTAACTCTGAATTAACTTCAACTTTAAATGTCCCGCTTTTATCTTTGTTCTGTCCATCACTGTTATCTAATACGTTAATGTCACCTTCAAAGAATGTATCAGTTTCACATTTTATCTCTAAGGTAGTACCTGGATAAATTTTAGTATTACCAAGTGTAGACTGATGATGAAACACAATACTAACATCTTTTTTTGTTTCAAGTGTTGTAATCTTAACACCACCAGAAGTATTAAACTCAACATTAGAAGACAATAAGAGTCTGTTAACAATAAATTTGCTGATGTTGAAATTAACCTTGTTAGCATTAAGTTCCATAACAGAGAATGTTTGTTCATTTTTAGAAGAAGTAAATAAAATATCATTACTCTCATCACTAGTAAAACTAACATCACAACTATCTGCTGATTCAGAGATATCATGTCGACATGGACATCCTTGATCAATATTACTTTCATAAGAATCTGGTAATGACAAATCAATGCTATTATCTTTGATATCAGTACTTTTAATGACACATTGTTTGGTTCCAAGTCCTATTTCAGAACACTTGAAATTATTAGAAATACCATCAGCTGATTTTATGTACACAAGAGCCCTATTCGTACATTTTAGAGAGAATCCATTTGGTACATCACCATTATAATTCTTAAACTTATCGTTTTTAGTAATGACAAGGTAATGACTATCTGAGCTAGTACTACTAACATAATTAATAAATTTACTGACAATTAAATAACTGCTTTCTAGATTAATAAGTGGATCTTTAACATCAGCATTAAGCCCTGAGAAATCAAAATGAATTATTTCTGCATTAATGGTAAATTTACTTTCAATATTACTAAGATGGTCCATTTCAATTCGTTTGAATTTTTGTTCAGAAGTAAATAAAACTTTAGAATTCTTCAATATAAGCACTTGATCATCTGAAAACACAAATTGTTCTGGGAGATTAAGATTTATATTTTCAAAAGTTAAATATTTTGGAACATTGGTGAATTTTAAAATTGTAAGATCAAACCGACTATCTGAAGAAGATTTAATAACAACATTACTCTTACCATTCATATCAAGATCACTAAACTGCATTGAATTAAAATCATCACCTCCAAGAATAAGAGTGTCATGTCCAAAAGTGAATTTTGATGACATAAAACTATTATCGTTTTTATCTATAATAAAGTCTCCTGAACCAACCGAATAAAATGAACCACAATTAAGATATTTGTTAATTGGATCATTATACAAACACAAACAAAGTTCATTACTATTAGCTTTAAGTCCAATAGAACTCAAGTCACAAGAAATATATAACTTTTCTTCTTTGTTTTCTAAAGAAACAACTTTAAATTGACTATCAATAGTAGTTGCATTTGGTTTGATTTTGATTTGACTACTAGGCCCTAACCTTATTGTTGAACCAATGCTTTTAGAAATCTCAACACCAGTAATATCAAGATACCCTGATTTAAGAGTAACATCTTCTCCTTCAAATTTACTTCCTTTAAAAGTAACGCTCCCTTCTTCTAAAAGAATATTAAACTTGTTGTCTGAAAGAATAATTGCATTTCCTTTGTAAATATTCAGTCCAACTACTTCTGTACATAAAGATTCAATTGTGAAAGTAGTAGCTTGTGTGTCAATTGCATTAGAATAAGAATTAAAAACAGAAAATTCCTGTACATTTTCTTTAACAGAAATATGCACTCCACCACTTTTTTTTGGTTGTGCATAAATAATAACTTTTTTGAATGAATCAAATACAATATCTGTGTTAAGAACAAGAGATGAAATTATTAATGTTGAGTCAGATTTCCCTGTAAGAGTAATAGCCCCATTTCCTTCAGTTGTTAATATATTATAATGAGACACTCCTGACCCTATGCTACCACTTGTTGAAATAGTTAGATCACAAAGATCCTTAGACGATGAACATGGACATGCAACATTAGATTTGGAAGCTCCAGAAAGTGTGCTAAATGTATTTTGGTAACATTTAATTGTATTTGTCTTATCTATATTTAAATCATTTCCTGCTATAAAGCTAAGAATATTATGATACAAATAATATCTGATATCACTCTCATATGATAAGACTGTTATGTCAAATTGTGCAGAAGTAACTTTAACTTCTTCAGAACTATCAGAACCAAGTTTATTAATAGTTAGTTTATAAGGTGCTGACACAGTAAATCCATTTGATAGAATAGCTTGTTTAAAAATAACGTCATACTCTGAATTAACTTCTTCATTAAATTTAATAGACCCTTTTCCACTAGAACCAGTTGAAATATAATCTAAAGTAACACTTCCAGAAATTGTTATAGTTCCAGAATTAAATATCTTTCCACTTTGTGCCCCTTGTAAATTGAGATTCCCACGATTACTAATTTGAACATTACTCATAGATTTGACAGTAAGAGTAGCACTATTCTGAACAATAACTTTGCCGAAAGTGTTGTCTCCAACTAAAGTAAGTGAACCACTTGGAGAGGTACTAACTATTAAATAGCAGTTAGAACTAACAGTCACTGATTCACAATTCTGTTCGAGGTTCATAAATGTATTGCAAGAACATTCTTTAGAAAATGAAGAGAATGTAAATAGTGCAAGTAAGATAATAAACATTTAAACTAAATAATATTTAGTTCAATTTTCTTTTTCAAATTCCTATTTTTAATTATGTAATTTCTTCAAGTTATTTTATTTTTCCCGATAAAATATTCATTTATCACTCTTAATACTCTTTCGATTTATCTTTTTTTTTCATAATTTTATTTTTAATTATTGAAGTATTTTTAAACCTGAAAAAAAATTACTTTTTCATAATTTAATATAAATTTTACAAATTATTTGCATAATTTCTTTTAGTTGTTATGTTATATTTTATAAATATAAAGTTTTGAGTTTTCTGTAATTTAATTTAAGAATTGGTTAAGTAGTATTATTATTTATTATTTTAAATAACTTCATATTTTTTTAAGATTAGACTCAAGAAATATAAATACATATTTATCTATATAAATAAATCAGGATAAGTTATTGATAAAAAAGAAATTTGTATTAAAAAAGAACATTTCCGAATTAGACCAATAACGCCAACTTTTATAACTTTGGTTTATTCTAAAAATATTCTCAAAGTAAAAAAAAGGTTTTTATGAGAATAACCAATGAAGAAACTTAATTTTAAAAATAAAATTGATGAAAAAATAAATTATTATGAAGTTGATTTTTATTTTTCATTTAATTTTAAATTGAAAAACCAACAAAAGTTAAATTAAAAATAAATATAAAATACTTTTAAGAGAATTCATTTAAAAATATTTTTATTCAAATATTAATAAATCGAATTTAAATGGTTTTTCTCAACAATTTAATGTAATTTCATTAAATTGAACACATTCTATAGGAGCATAAATAAACTCTCAGTCAGGAGCATTACTTTAGATTAGAATACCATTTCTAGTAAAAAAAACTTAATAAGTTTTTCCCTTATATCTACAACTATCAACATTTTCTATACCAATTTATTTTCCATAAGGAAGACTAATTTGTGTTTTATCATAGAATCTACTCAAAGTAATACTACCATCAGCGTGATATCCAACTGAATATTATTTCCATCCAACATGACAATTACTAAAAATAAAATATTGTTTTTTATCAATTAAATCAATAGAAATAAAACTTACATCTTTTACCTTAACTTTAAAATATCTTATTATTTTTAATTGTTTTATATTCTTCATTTAAGTTATTAACTTAAAAATTTCTTGTTTGTTGTATTAAGTACAAAAATCATTAGAAATTACCATAATATCACCTTAAGAAATATTTGTTATTTGAATATTCTACATTTTCTATTCTCACATTACCCTTTTGAGATAATCTCACTGAGTTTTATTTCTTTCAAAAATAAGTGTTTTAACACAATAAGGGAATATCCAATCTTCCTTTTCTCTATTTTGAATATATCTTATAAAAAACTATTGTTGGATAATATTTTTCTATAATTTCATTCAAACAATTGTTTTTCATTACTCAATTAATAAAAGAAATACCTTTTTTACATCTAAATGATTTCTATTCTCATTACACATTTTATAACTTTTATCAAAATCAAATGTTTCAATTTGAAAATAGCTTAAAAACTATTTTAATGAATATCATTAATGAAGGACGTATGAACTTTTAAACAGTTAACAATCTCTTCACATTTATGAGAAACTATTATAAAATTTGTAACATCATTAGAAGTTGAAAATTTCACATTCGTACTTAGTCCAAATAAACAACTTCAAAGACTGATATTTTCATTAAATAAAATTAAAAAAGTAAATAATTCTATCTATATGAGATAAACATGAAACTCTAAAACTTTCTTTCAAAAATAATAAAATTTTTGTTAATTTTTAATTATCTGAAGCATAAAAGAGATGATGAACAATTGCATTTCTATTTAATGGTTTTAATTCTTCCCATTGAATAACAAAAATATCAGCAATAAATTTTAATATTTTACCAGTAAGAGATAATGTAGTAACTCTACATACACTTTCAAGATATATAATTCTTGTTTTTTTACTTTGGAATAACTAAAAAATTAATATAAATGTTATATTAAATACTTAAACTTATTAAAAATAACAAACATTTAAAAACCAACAACAAATACAAACAGGAACACAAGTTCCTGGTCCATTACAAAGTAATACTTCTGGTCTAATTTTTAAAACCATACCAATACAAACAAATATGGCATACAATGTTGTAAAAATAGAAGTAAAGTATGACTGTCCAACTTTCCTACTTCGTGGAATTTGATGAACATTATATTTACTTTTTATTCCTTCTAATTTTTTTGAACTTATATTATCACTCTCAGCTACAATTACATCAAATTGTTTGATAACCTCATGACACAATTCATCTAAGGGATGTAACACATGAAGCATTTCCATTGTATGTCCACCACTTCCAAGAACTACACAAATTTCTTTATCTTTATTTTTATCTAATCCACACCACTCTTTCATGAGATTACCAATTTTTTCATCTACCTCTTTTCCTTTAAGAACAATGTCTTTTCCAGGTTGAATAATGTAATGAGAAAGTAATTCTTTTAACGTAGATGGAGAAGGACAATATGTAACTGCTCCCAGTTCTGAAAGTTTCTTTGCTATTTCTGTTTGGTGATTATTCATTAATGCATCATTAATAACAACAATAGTTGATTTTTTTACACTAAGTGCTTCATTTACAGATCCAGCACCAGCATGAGTTATGATTAAATCAGCAGCTTTAAAGTCTTCTGAAATTGATGTTTTCATAGAGAATGAATGAACTGTTATACCTGCTTTACTTTCAGGAATATATTTTCCGTGTCCATATTGAACAACCATTTCAGTAATTCCAATTTGGGAGAGTTGTTTCATTACATCCTCTTCGTTAATAGTTTCAATAAGTCGTTCAAATTCAGTCGTACCAACAGTAACAAAAAGTTTCATGAAACAATTTTATTTGAATGAATATTTTTTAAGTTCAAGAAATAAAAAACATAATAAAATACTAAGCAACACGTAACTTATTTTATTAGTTAAATCATATTATTTGTTTTTTTTTAATTCTTTAACATTGGTGATTCTACTTTTTTGGTTTTCTTATCAGCAATATATAATTTAGTGTAATGAACTACTTCAATGATAACAGCAACAGACAGCACTAACCCACACACTAAACAAATAACCCAAATAGGACTTCCTTCTTGTGGACTTTCAGACATTACTTATTAATTTTGATTTTAGTTTTTTTTTAATCAACAATTTTAAGAATTCTAAATTTTTATACAAAAAAAACCTAAAAAATAATTTCTCTCAACGTAAACATATTCCAATTATCTTATCTTCTTCTTCTTGAACCTGATGATCTTCTTGATGGTCTAGATCTTGAGGATCTAGTTGGTTTAGGTCTTGATACTGGTCTTGATGCTTTTCGAATAGCTCTATTTGCAACTTTCATAGTTCTTTTTACTGATCTTCTAGCAGCCTTAACCTTAGCTTGTACTTTATGAATTTTGTGTCTGAGTTGAGCCTTTGAAGATCCATGTGCTTTTCTCAAAGCCTTTTTCAAATTCTTAACTTTTTTCATTTGGGCTTTAAGAAGACGTCTCTTAGCATTAAATTTAGTAAATGCCTTCTTTGACATTCCACTCTTTCTTGCTTTACGAATAAAGGCTTTAGACTTTGAAAGAAGTCTTTTATTAGAACTTCTTTTAGCAATTTTCTTTGAATATTTTTTCATTGATTTTTTAGCAGCTTTTCTAATTAATTTTTGAAGTGCCTTTTTATTAAACTTTCCTTTCTTAATTCCTTTTTTCATTGCTTTCTTTTCAAATCTTTTCATTTTTTTAACAATTCTCATAGCTTTTTTCTTTCCAAATTTCTTTGTTAATTTCTTAGTAAGTTTTCTATTAAGCTTTTTAGTTAATTTAGTAAATCTTTTCTTACTATATTTCTTAATTGTTTTCTTTTTATTAATTTTCTTAACAGACTTTTTCTTATTGAGTTTTTTAACTAATCTCTTTTTATTAAGTCTTTTATTAACTCTTCTCTTATTATTAATCTTCTTTGAAACCTTCTTTCTTCTATTAATTTTTGATATCTTTTTATTTAATTTAGCACTTTTCTTTTGTGCATACTTTTTGCTTTGTTTTCTAAGATTTTTCATCATCTTTTTAACTTTAAGTTGTGCTTTCTTTGTATTTTTCTTTGATAACTTATTAACTTTTGACATTTTCTTTTGAACTTTTCTTAATACTTTCTTTGAAACTCCAGCTTTCTTTAATTTTTTAATAAGTTTCTTTTGTGTCTTTTTAATCTTTTTAGCGTCTTTCTTAGTTACTTTCTTGGTTGTCTTTTTGACATATTTCTTAGCAGATGAAAGTGCTTTCTTTTGGGCTTTTTTAGCTGACTTTTTAGCAGCTTTTTGTGCAGATTTCTTGGCTGTCTTTTTAGCTTTTTGTGCAGTCTTTTTGATTTGTTTCTTCATTTCTTTTTTCAATTTCTTTTCCTTAAGAAGAGCTTTTTTAACATTTTTCTTACTCTTAGAAATTTGAGACTTTAATTTTTTAACAGCACTCATTTTCTTTGTTCCTTTCTTAACTTGTTTTTTAACTTGTTTCAATTTCTTTTCTTGTTTCTTTTCAACTTTCATAGCTTTCTTTGCTGCTTTAGCGGCTTTTTTAGCTTTCTTTTTAAGATCACTCTTTGTAGTCTTTAATTTCTTACTAACATCTTTATTAGCTTTCTTTGCTTCTTTAGTGGCTTTTTTGACAGCTTTTTGAGCTTTCTTAATGGCTTTGCTTGATAATTTTTCAGCTTTAGATTTAACTGAGGTAACTTTCTTAGTAGCTTTCTTTGCTGCTTTAGCGGCCTTTTTAGCAGCTTTTTCACCTGATTTCTTTGCTTCTTTGGCAGCTTTCTTTCCTTTCTTTTCAGCCTTTTTAACTTTCTTCAATAATTTCTTCTTATCAGCAGCTTCCTTTTTAGTGACTTTCTTAACTTTACTATTAACTTTCTTAGCAATAGCTTTTTGGGTCTTAGCAGCTTGTTTCTTTGCAATTTTCTTAGCTTGTTTCTTAGCTTGAGCCTTAGCTTTCTTTTCAGCTTTCTTAACTTTAGCCTTCAAACTCTTCTTCAAAGCTTTCATTGATTTCTTTAATGAAGAAGCCTTCTTTGAATCTTTCTTAGTAACCTTCTTTGAAGCTTTTGTTAATTTCTTAGCTTCTTTCTTAGCTTTTTCAATGATTTTCTTAGCTTCTTTGATAATTTTCTTTTCAATTTTATGGACTTTCTTTGTGACAGTTTTAACTTCTTTCTTTACTTTCTTGGATTGTTTTTTAATAACACTTTTAGCTATTTTCTTAGCTACAGAATTAGCCTTCTTTGATTTTACACTTTTAACAACTTCAGCATCATCAAGTACTTCTTCACTTCTATTGAACCTTTTTTCAATATGAAGAGTATTAATAATTCTTTCCTTAACGTATGTTGGAACAGAAGCTAATAACTTTTTCATTCCTTTAACTAACTTAGCTTTTTGTTTCATAAATCCATTTAATTGAGAAACCATTAAATTGATTTCTTTTTGAATGTTTCCCTTTTGTGATTCTGGAGCAGCTTCAACATCAAGTACAGCATGATCGATTTTGTCGTGAATGTGTCTTTCAATGTCTTCAATTCTACTTAATTCAGCTTCTAAAATAGAAACTTTGTCTTGAACTTCGTAAAATTCTCTGATATAATAAGCAGTGCTTGATTGATCAGCAAATGCACAAGTAATAGCGAGAAGAACAAGTAATACTTGCATTAAAATTATGCTTCTTATTTTTGAGTTCTTGCTTGAAATAGGTCAACAATCTATTTTTATTCAATCCATCTCATAAATTAAATAAAGAATCTCTTTTTACTACATTTCCCGATTTTTTTATCATTTTTTAATTATAAAATAATAACTATTTAAAACTTCAAATTTCTCGAATAATTTTATTTTGTAGATGAAATCAAAGATTCTTTTTCATCTTTTTTCTTTTTTATAAAAAGCAAGTTAATTAATTTTTTTTTTTATTATGATTTTTCTTCATAAAAGTTGATTGCGTAAAAACAACAAATCCTAAATTGCCCAGTAACAAACTATCAAATTTAAAGATAACATTAACTTAAATAAGTGGAATATTCTATTTTTTTTTAAATAAATTTTTAATTAAGTAACTCATATTTTATAAAAATCAAAATACTTTTTTTCATAAAAAGTTAATACAAGAAGAAATACAAAGTACTAAAACAATATTTGTTTTCAAAATAATAATTTGTTTGTTATACTTAAAAATATTAATCAAATACAAAATCTTCAAATTAAAAAATTGTTTTACTTTTTTTTAATATTAATCTTCCCAATTAAAGAGTTTTTTTTATTGTTTTGAAATTTTTAAATAGTAAATAAAATACTATTCTGTTTTATAGCAATAAAGTATTGTAGTTCCCATTTGTTAATCATATTGTTATTTTATTCTTTGAGGTAAAGCCTCTACCTTGATTTATCAACAAAGTTGACAATAATTAAATTTGTTTTTTCTAAGAGACTTATATTATTTTTTTTAATACCACTATTACAACTACTCATAACTAAATTAAATACTATGCCTTTATTCCTGAAAATAATACTCACATTAAAAAGAGTTAATAGACTCAATTTTTATTATAAATATTTATGATAAATCAAATGAATTGGCTTATTGAATTAACACTATTAAAATTAGTTATAACAATGTATTTTATTGTTTTATATTCCATAATAAAGTTGCTCAATTTGAAAGTTTATATAATCTTTGTATAAGTTAGTTTTTGAATAGTCTTTATTTCAATAAGAATAAACACATCAAACTAAAGAAAGGTTGAACATCATTATCTAATTTCTATATTTAACTTTTTTCCTAATTTTCATTTTGTTATATATAACGGAAATAATAACTCGTTATACTACATATTTTTTATGGTTAATGTTGTTATTTAATCTAACTATATGGATTTGATTACTTGAATTACATTACACAAAAGTGGAATGCTATGATATTAGAATTAAAAAGAAATGTAATAATAAAACTATAATTATTTTTAGTAGTATGACTGTACTTGTGTCTCATTAAGAGCATTTTTCAAATGAATTATCAGTACATCAAAAACCAATTTTATTTTTAATGAATTAAATAACTCAATGAATGTTTTATTAACTAAATTGTTTGTTTATTGTTTATTAATGAAATTATGAATGTGTTTGTTGAATGAAAAATATAATTCAATATTAAACCAAAGATATAGAAGAAAAATAATAAAAATGGTAAAAATCATTTGAATTAATCAAATGTAATTCAACAATAAATAATTGAAATATACTGATTATATGCTTATTCACATATCTTTTAATGGTATTTATTATTCAATGAATAATATAAATTGAATTGTTATTGGATAATTGAATTTATCAATAGACTAAAAGAATAAACAATGGGGTTTCCCTATTCAATAACATATTTTCTTGTCTGTCTTTCTTCAAAATAACCAATTAATTGATTAGAGAGTATTATTATGTTCAACTTCTTCATTTCTTATGGTTATACAATGAATTTGACTTAATTCATTTATGTTTAGTTGTATTGTTTCATTGTCATATGTGTTGAATCATAAACAATTGCTTTGTAATACATTGTATTTAATATTACAATCAAATAAACAATAAATTCAATGATTTCTCTCTCATTCATCCACAATTTCTTTATCAATACTTCTAATTCAATAATCATATTTTCATTTGTTATTCAAACTTCTTTTCCTTTGAACTTTTCTTTCTTAAAACAAACACTTTCACCGAATAAACAATCAAAATGTTTGTTGTTTATTTTAGTTACATATTCTAATACTCAATCAATACATCATGTTTTATTTATATTAATACTCTTTCTTATCACTATCTTCTTTGTTGCATTTTGGTTTTGGTAAGTAACATCAACATCTATTCCATTATTCAATTATAAATAACAAAAAACTCTTCTTTCTCTTTAGTTGTATCATCATGAAGTAAAATGACTGTGTTTCGTTCTTTAAAATAACTAATACATTCTTCTTCATAACTTTTGTCTTCTTGTTGTTGATGAGGAATAATTTCATTTCAAATTGATATCTTGTTTTAATAACACTGAAAATAGTAGAACATTCACATTCTTCTTTAATTGAAAGTGTGTTTTTAATATCAAAAACGTGATTCATTCAATATTCATCTGTTAGTCATTCATTCCAGATATTCTTTACATTCAAATGGATATGTTTTATCATGAACTTGTTGTTGAATATCAATTCAATTTATTACTCTTTTCAATAATATTTTTTTATTGATATAATATTGTTATATGATACATTGAACTTCAAAAATGAATAACTTTCAATTAAAACTGAATTTAATCATCAAAAATTATGTGTTTGTATTGGTGTTGTTGAAAATAAAATATAATTAATACAAATGATTGATTTTTATTTATTAATACAATTTATGTTTTTATAATTCAATTGAAACACAATTATCTTCTATTTTGTATGAATGACATTTATTCAATTTCCATTTCTTATGTAAAATACAAATTGTTGTAATTGTATATATCAACATCAAATAACATCATTATCTTCAAATGGAGTATTGTATTACTTCTCTTTGTCTCTCTATTGAATAGTTTCTATCATTAAAACTTAGTTTTATAATTATATTCTACTTGCTGATAATAAAGATTTTAATCAAATTAATTCAATCAATTCAAATAAATATAGTACTGTATTTTCTATCATTATTAAACTCACAATATTGAATATTTTTAATAAACTGATATTTTCAATACAAACACACACGTATCATTTAGACAAATATAAAAGTGTTTACAATTTAATTTGTTTAAGAATTGAAAATGATTCAATGGTGTTTTGAAATGAAACAAAAGTTGTTGTTTATCACTATCAATAAATACAACTCTTTGTTGATTATTATTAAGAGTAATGTGTGTATCTTCTTCATCATTTTGAGTGTTGCAATTATATTCAGTGATATTAAAATTGCTCGTACAAAACATTGTTTATAACTACAAACTATCCTTATTGATTAATAACTCTCTTGCTGTTGCTCATATGATTTTACAATAAACTCTTAATTATTCATAACATATTATTTTTATTTGAATTATTTCTCCTTTTATACTATAATATATTTATTAAAATACTACTCGTTACTGTTTATTTACTATTAGTATAATAAGACATACACCCAAACGTTTATTTATTATTAATGAAAGAAAAAATAACAAAAAATATGAATAACAATAATAAAAAATAAAAAAATAAAAACTTCATAAGAACTTAAAAGAAAATGACAAAAAAATAAAAAACTGACATGAGTTTATCTCAACAGCAAATTGATCAATTGATTCAAAACCTATATGGCAATGACAATGAAATTAAAACACAAACACTGAAAGAAATTAATGCTGTTATTACAACACATTGGGCAGAAATTTCAGAAGAACTTCCTAAATTGATTGAATTAAGCGAAACAATAGAAGGAATAGGAAAACAATATGCATACCTTGTTATTAGTAAGTCATATTTTTACATTGAAAGTTATGATGAAGCTGTTAATTATGCATTAAAGGCAGATGAATTATTCAAATTTGAAGGAAATGATAATTATAGTGTAAAAATGATTACACACTTAATAGATATGTATATTAAAGAACGTAGACAAAAGAAAGAAGTTGATAAATTAATGGAAGATAAAATGAATAAATTCTTTAAAGAGGCTATTGAGAAAGAAGAAGAATATCTAACGATTGGAATTGCATTAGATTGTAGAAGAGTTGATGTAATTAAAGAGATATTAGGAAAAACTAAAGAGAAAGATGAAATAATAGAATATCTTAAGAAGATAACTAACAGTTCAAGTGTTGATTATTCATTAAAGAATGAAGTTATGGAAATTGTTTCAGAAAGTCTTAATGAAAATAGTCAAATTGATTTAGAAAGTATCAGTGAATGTTGGGTAAAAAAGAATGATGGAGATGGGTTTATGAAAATGTTTAACCAATTAAGTGAAGAAATGAAAATGCAAGTATTACTTGATTATGAAGGAATTCCACAAAAATTTAGAGAAGAATTAATAAGTAAATTACCAGAGAAGTATCATAAATATATTGATGGAAAAATCCAAGAGAAGTTGTATTTAGACTTTTTATTCTCTAGAGATAAAACTGATAATTTATTATTGAATAATATTAAATCATCAAATTGTATTAAAAGTAGTGTAATTCAAACAGCAGTATTATATGCTAATGCATTTATGCATTATGGAACAACTAATATTATGTTTTTAAAAGATAATAATGATTGGATTATTAATGCAAGTAATTGGGGAAAATTTGCTACTACAGCTTCTCTTGGAGTTTTATTTAAAGGAAGAGAAAATGAAGCACTTAATTTAATGTCACCATATACAGCAAATGGAACAGGAGGAAAAAGTGTTTATGCACAATCAGGAAGATTATATGCATTAGGACTTATCTTTGGAGGACATGGAAAAGAGATTTTAACAACAATAACTGATGATTTAAAACAATCAAAAAGTAGTAAAAATGAAGTTCTTCAACATGGAGCATGTTTAGGAGTTGGATTAGCTGGAATTGCTACAGAAAATTATGAATTATATCAAGAAGTTAAAGAAATATTAATTAATAATGATAGTGCAGTAGCAGGAATGACAGCTGGATTATCCCTTGGATTAATAATGATGGGATCAGGTAATTTAGAAGTTGCACAAGAAATGCTTACACATTGTCATGAAACAGAACATGATAAAATTATTAGAGGAACTAGTGTTGGAATAGGATTAGTAATGTTTGGAATGCAAGATAAAGCTGATGGAATTATAGATTTAATGGTTAATGATGCTAATCATGTATTAAGATATGGAGGAATTTATACAATTGGGTTAGCATATTGTGGAACTGCTAATGAAAAGGCTATTAGTAAATTATTACATTTTGCAGTCACAGATAGAAGTGATGAAGTTAAAAGAGCAGCAGTATTAGTGCTTGGATTTATTTTGAATAAGAGATTAGATGAGTTATGTAAAACAATTTTATTATTAATTGATTCATATAATCCACATGTTAGATATGGAGCTGCACTTGCATTAGGTATTGCAGGATGTGCATCAAATGATAGTACTGTTATTGGATTACTTGAGCCATTATTAAAAGATCCAAATGATTTTGTCAAACAAGGAGCTGCCATTGCACTTGGAATGGTTTTGATGGAAACATCTATTAAAGAAAATGACAAAGTTGAAAAGTTTATTAAAGACTTACAAAATAAAATATCATTTAAAGGTGAAGGAATGTTAACTCAATTTGGAAGTATTCTTGGATTAGGAATTGTTAATGCTGGAGGTAGAAATTGTACTATTTCAATGTACAATAATTTAGGTACATTTAATTTAAAAGCTGTTGCAGGATTAGTATTGTTTAACCAATATTGGTATTGGTATCCATTTACTTTATGTCTTTCATTGTCATTTATTCCAACAACAATCATTGGGGTTACAGAAGATTTAAAGTATGTTGAGTCATATCAATATATTTCTAATGCACCATCAGACCAATTTGATTATTTACCAATGACTAAACCACCAACAAAAACTGGACATACAAAAATGAACCAAACTAAATTATCTTATGGGAATAAACAAGCTGGACAATCACTTAATTTGTCTTCTAGTCTTTTAATTAGTGAAAAAATAACAAATGAAATTATTCCAGAAGAAAAGAAAATGGAAGAAGAACCAATTCAAATACAACCATTTGTTACTTTACAAAATGGAAGTAGAGTCACTCCTCGTCAACTTGAATTTATTACTGAGATAAAAGGCAGTAGATTTGTTGGAGTTAAAAAACCAGGAAGAGGTATTTTGATCTTGAAAGATACTCAACCTCAAATGGAAGAAGAAAATTCAGGAGTTATTAAAGATCAAGGAATTGAAATGACAGAAGAACATAAAGCACTTGCTGATGCCTTATTATCCAATAACAATGATCCAAAACCACCTGAACCATTTGAATGGAACTTTTAATTGAAATAAAGTTATTTGGTTTTTTTTGTATTATCATTTTAAACTACTTTAAATTTAATACAAAATAGTTTTTTTTTTGGTACTATTCATTAATTTGATTGAATTATTTGAATGTGACATAGTCGAATTAATATTTATATTATGGTTTTTGATGCATTTATTTTATTGAATTGATATATACTCTTTATTTATTACAATATTGCATTATTAACTTTTTGGTTTATTCATTTATTGTTTTTGTGTTTGTTAATTATGTATTGTAACGACACAGTGTTTAAATGAAATTATGAATTACAACAACAAAAGGGTTTTAAAATTTATTATTCTTAGTTTGTCTGAATTATTATTACTTTGTTTCTTCTTTATATTATTTTTATGATGTCTTGTTTGTACATTGAACTATAGTATGTAATATTAATCTTCATTGTCTATTCATTTCTGTTTATGAAGTATTTTTAATTTTAGAATGTTTAACTCTTCATGATTTGACAATTTTTTTAATTCTTTCATGAAATTCTCTTTATTCTTTGTCTTATTCAAATTCAATTTATTATGAAATAGATGCAAATCAGTATAAATCTTTATACTATCCTAATTTAACTTCTTATCATTCTATAATTGTTTTCACATTATATTTATTACTATGTTTTACTACATTCTTTTAATCTTTATTTCATCGTTATCCATAGAATTATCTTCAATAATTCTATTGTAAATACTCTATTTTTATCAATAATTTGCATAAAAAGAATTTTTCTTTTATAATTCAAAATGAAACAAAAATAACTTAATTTCCAAAAGTTATGCAAATACTGGAATAAAAACCTGTCTTGGTTCAGTTGCATTACACTTTGATGCTATAATTTGATAACTTATACTTGTTGTATTAAGGTGATTGTTTCCAGTCCATTTTTCTTTTGCTTCATTCTTTTTCCTTGCTTGATAACAAAGGTCAACATCAAGTCGATAAGGAAGATAGAAGTGTCTTTTATATGTAGGCCATTCAAGAGTTTTTTCAACGACTCTTCCCTTATTATTATACTTAACTTTGGAGTGGTATTCTGGATACCAATCAGTCGAATAAGGATGAACATAAACAAAACGTTGGTTTTTAGTACCTGGTGCATCTGATAATGGTGGATTTTTGGACCAAATAATAAGTGAATGTCCTTCAAAAGCTCCTGCTCTAATATCGTGTACTCTTTTTGGAATTGCATAACTTGTGTACATTCTGTATGGTGCAAATTCAAAGAATTGAAGTTCATTTCCTTGTTTCAATGGTCTTAATAAAATGTTTTGTTCATAACCTCCATTTGCATATCTTACTGATCTTTTATCATCAAATTCCATATCCATAACATATCTATCATCTCCGTTTTTATCATCTGTATCAGTAAACTGTTTTTCAGTTTTGTAATTATAATCAGAAGCAAAAATAACTCTACAACATGTTTTACACTTGGCACGAACATAATTCTCTTGATTTGCACTGAAAACTCCACTCTCAGCAAACTGTTGAATCTGATAACTGTTAACATCACTCGTAAAATACGTGTTAAATTTTGTACCTTGGTTTTGTTTTCCATATGGATAATTTGGAGAAAATTGATCCCTATTATCATTGGTTTTACCAAATGAATAACTTATCAATAAGATTAATATAATCATTGACAATATTTTAGATGTCTCTATCGTTTAAGAATAATCTAAATACTTTTTTGAAGAACATATTCTACTTTAATTCTAATAACTATTAGACTCAATAATCTATTTTTTTAAAAAAAGATAAATCACTTTGTTTTAAAAGAAGAGTCATTATTGAATATAAAGTTAGTCAAATCGCATTAATTAGCAATATGATTTTACACATTATATATTATTACTTATTTAAGGTAAGTAAAATAAAAAATATTGAGTAAGTGATAGTGTAATGTAATTTTTATTACAAAAAAAAATAATTTCATTCTATTTTTTAGTATAAAACAAAATAACGTCAGAAGTAATATTTATTTTTTAGAATTTATTCCTTCTGTATGAGAATTGAATAGAAAACAAGATAAATTCCTTTCACCTAGATCATGAACAAGGACATATTTCGTTTCAACATTCTCCTAACAGAAAAAGAAAAAAGATTTTTTTAATGAACGAAGAAAAGAAAAAATGAAGTTATTTAAAACAATATAAATTGTTGTATTAAAAAAAGTCAATTAATAGATATATCCACTATTGAATATTATGAATATTGAGAAGTGATTATTTCAGTTTCTTCAATATGCTCTATTGGTGTAATAGAGTTCATTTCTAGCATGCTCGCATTAGATTGTTTTTCTTCTAATGTGCTGCCAGAATTGAATGTGTAAAACATTAAGTCTTTCATATTTTTTATAATTATTGTTCGTATGATTTTGGAAAATTCTAATTGTAATTTCAGTGATTTTAATCTTCTTGCTGACTCTTTATGTATTAATCCATTTATTGATAATATAACAGGTATTATTTCTACATATATTATTTCTCTATTATTTCTTAATTTCTCTTGTAATTCTTTATACTTATTTATTTTATGAATATAATTTAATTCTAAATTATTATCTTGACATATAGCAACATCTATAATATATCATTTCTTTTCTTTCATATTTTGATAATATATATCTGGTATTCTATCATTGAATGAATTATCAATAACCAATAAATCTTTATTGTAAGTTATTACAATTTTATCATTATTAATACATTTATGATGATTATTAAAATCAATAGCATCAAATTCATTAAAATGTGTAATTAATATCTGTTTATATATTTGTTTACAAACATATTCATGTTTTAATATTTGATTCTTCTTCATTACATCATAACAAGATATGACTAATAGATGCAATAGTGTTAGGGCAATGTTTACAATATTTTAATGCATCATTTTGGATTATTTTAGATTTAATATTTCCTGTCATAGTTACTCATTCTTGTATCTTTACTATTTGGAGGAATGCATTTCTTTTTATGTTTAATGACCTCCATGTGGCTACTGTTAATTTTTTATCATTGAAAGTGCCATTTGCACATCTTATATATTCACCACATTTCTTTTCTTTCAATTCATTTAAATATCTATCATTTAAATCATTATTTACCCATTCAAATATTTCCTTTACATTGTGCTTTCTTTCATTTAATTCTATTACATTCATTAATTCATTAAAATTAATCTTCTTACAAAATACTTTCTTCATTCTTTTAATTATTCAATTTGGATTTTCTTTTATTGCTTCTATCATTTCTCCTATTTCTGTATTTGATATTTTTATTTTAAATATATTCTTAATAATTCTTTACCACATTCATCTCTTGCTGACATTAATCCTAATCCCAATTCATTTATTTTAATATATAATCTACTTTTTGGGAATGTTTCTACTATATAATTGGAGTTGTATTAATGAATTTCTTATTTGTTTATCTACCTTCTCCAATTCTCCTAGTTTCCATGGGACAATACTAAATAAATATCTTAATTTGGAGATTATATCACTATTAATCTTTCTTATTGTAATGAGGCTGCTATATTTCATAGTGTTTAATGATGATAAAATAGAAGATATATCATTTAATATTCTTGTACAATATTTGTTAATATTTACTTTATCTCCTATTTCTATACCAAGATATTTATAATGATTGTCAATAGTTACTCTTGGTAGTTCAGCTAATTCACCATTTATTTGACTATTAATATTAGTCATTATCTCCATCTTTTCTATATTAATTTTTAATCCTATTGCATTAAATATTTCTTTAGTTAATTTGTGGGCTTTTTCCATTTCATCGAGATTATTAATTATTATCTTTAAATCATTCATATATAATATGTGGTTTAACTGGAATTGTTTTTCTTCTCCATTTATTTTAATATTTGATTTGTTAATTTGTTTATCTAATTGATTAGATAATATGTCAATAGATAATACAAATAAAAGTGGAGATAAACTGTCATTTGTATTATTCCTCTTTCTACATTAATCATACCCACACTTTATTGATTATAATATAAATTAAGATGTGTATTATTTAATATATATAATATACTATTAATTACTACAAGTGGGATATTAAAATAAATTAAACAATGTTTAATCAATTGATGATTAATGCTATCATATGCTTTGGATATGTCATAATATGTTTCTACTAACTTCAATTTAGCCTTTAATAATAATTGTTGGATTATAGTGTTATATAATAATCCTTCTTTTGATGCATATGTATATTTCTTACATCCAATTTGATTTAATGATAGTTGTTTTTCAATTGGATTTAGCATCAATTGATTTTCTATTTTCATTTTTAATATTGATGTATATACTTTTAACAAACAATTTAAGCACGTTATTGGTCTGTAATTCTGTGGGTCTAATTTATCTCATTTCTTATATACTAATATTGTTCTTCCTTGAATAAAGTGAAGAAGTATTTCATTAGGATTGTTTAACCATTCATTAAATAATTTTAATAAATATTTCATTGGTTATTCTAAATATTTAATCCAAAATCCTTGTATTTTATCATTTTCAATTTACTTTCAAATTATTAATGAATTTAATAGCACAGTCTAGTTCATTGGGAGTGATTATTGACATTCTATTATTAATTATATTTTCAATTAATATTTCATATAAATTAATATTTAGATAATCTATAATAGTATTCGTTTCATAGATTCCTTTCCAGAAATTAATAGTGGAGATATTATCTGGATATTCATCTTCTTTAGATTTATTTAAATGTTGCATTTTCCAATATTTCATCATTTTATAATTCCATCTTATTCTTTTCCAATTATTCTTTCTTGCTTCTATTTCTATTATTTTCATCTTTCAGAGGTATTTATAATAGTTTATTTGTTCATTTGTTTTTATTTTAATATGATATATATCATATTTCTTAATATGTAATATTCTTTTTAATTTCATATATTGTTTATTATTAAGTAAATCTCTCAATCTACATATTTTTGACTGTAATATTCTTTCTATACTTCTCTTTCCACTTCTTTCTTGTTTATTTTTATTAATAATGTTAATAGTGGAAGCTACAGATTTAATATAGTGATAATAATCAACTAATGTATTGATTAATATTTCATTTTTATTAATAATATTAATTATTTGATGTACTTTCTTCTTATTGTAATAATAATTAATAAATTGTACATCTTCTTGTTCTTTCATTTCTTCTTCTTTAAATATTTTCATTACTTCAAATTCTTCTATTTCTTCTTTCTTGTTCATTTTTGATATTATTTCTTTTAATTCTTTATCTTTCAATTGATGTTTTATTATTTCTTCCTCCATTATTCTATTGATTTCTCTTTTAATTTCATTCTTTATTTTAAATGTCTTCTTTAATATTTCTTTATATTCATTAATATCATTTACTTTAATTCCAAATTCTTGTATTAGTCTTTCTATTATTTCTTCTTTAAGTTGACATCTTAATTTTCTTTCAAATAATTTTAAAGCAAAACATTTATAAAGTGTTAAAATTTCTTCTTTTCTATCTGTTTGCTTCCCCCGTTTTTTTTGTTTGTCTAATTCTAATGTGGTGATATTCTTATGCTGAATATCCATTTCTTCAATGGATTTCTGCATTAACTTTCTTTTTTTTGGAAGATCATCTTCACTTGATGATATTTCATCAGCTACTACCACATTGGGGGTGAGATCATTCACAATTTGTGTTTCAGATGAGTCTGTTATATTGTCATTTATCTCATCTTTCTTTTTTTCTTCTTGTGTGTTTTCATTTTCTAATTTAGATAATTTATCATTCAGGAATAATAATTATTATGATAGATTGTTTAATTCATACATTTTCCTCTCAGATTCAGCATGAAATTCAAATACTTTTTTATCGCACTCGTGGTTTTTTTGTGCTTATCTCCTTCTCATGCTTCTTCTTTAATGTCATAATATCTTTTGTTAGTTTTTAATGGTTTATTCTTTTGCTTTTATTTCATTTTTCATTTCTTCTTTCTCTTTCATATCCTCCTCCACTTTCTTTTCTATTTCTTTTACTCTTTTTTTCTTTTTACTGTTTTCTTCTTCCTTTTCTACCAGCCTCTTCTTCTCTCCTTTAGTAAACCTCTTCTTCTCCTCAGCAAGCCTCTAAAAGAAAAGTTAGAAGAAAATTCAAAAGAAAGAAAAAGAGAAAAGAAAATTCAAAAGAAAGATTAAAAGAGTTTATTCATCAAAAAGAAAAGTTGATTGAAAAGTATTATTAAATTGTTTTTCATGAAAATCAATGATTTAAACAACACAAAACTGAAATTATTCAAATAATGATATTCTTCTTAAGTGTAGTTACTTTGGCTTTAGCAACTGAAGTCAATTTGATGATGCCACTTGATACAGTCAATTCCAATGGAGTTAATAATAAAGGACAACTTCAAAATGACTTAAATAAAATTAAATCAGGAGGAGTTGCTGGTGTTATGGCAGATGTTTGGTGGGGACTTGTAGAAACATCACCAAGAAATTACAATTGGAATGGATATAAAGAATTAGTTCAAATGGTTAAAAAAGCAGGATTAAAATTCCAAGCAGTTATGTCATTCCATAAATGTGGAGGAAATGTAGGAGATTCAGTAACAATTGAAATTCCCCAATGGGTAAGAAATGCAGGAGCAGCAAATGATGCGTTCTTTAAAGACAATGAAAATAATGTTAATAATGAATATATTTCATTTGCATATGATGATTCATCTATTTTTGAAGGAAGAACACCAATTGAAATTTATAAAGACTTTATGACATCATTTAAACAAAACTTCCAAAGTTATATTGATGATGGAACAATTAATGAAATTCAAGTTGGTATGGGACCATGTGGAGAAACTAGATATCCATCATATCCACTTTCAAGGTGGAGTTATTGTGGAGTAGGAGAGTTCCAATGTAATGATGGTAAGTCAAAAGAATTACTTAAAAAAGCAGCAACAGATAAAGGACATTCAGAATGGGGAAATGGATCACCATCAAATGCAGGAAATTATAATTCTAAACCACCCTCATCAACAGGATTCTTTGGAAATGGATTTGATAACTACCAAAGTGAATATGGACGATTCTTCCAAGAATGGTATTTTGACTTGTTATTAAGTCATACAGATAAAGTTCTTTCAGCAGCAAGAAATGTATTTGGAAATACACTTGCACTTGCAGGTAAAATATCAGGAGTTCATTGGTGGTATAATGACCAATCACATGCAGCTGAAATGACAGCTGGATATTACAACTCAAATGGAAATGATGCATACAAAACACTTTCTAATACATTCAAAAATAATAATGTTAGATTTGACTTTACCTGTCTTGAAATGAGTGGAACTGATGGAAATTGTGGGTCATCACCAGCTAATTTAGTTGATCAAGCATTTAATGCAGCAGGAACAGTTGGAATTGGCAAATGTGGAGAAAACGCACTTGAATTATGTGGATATGGAGGATGTAATACTAATGGATTTAATCAAATCATCAATAAATGTAAACAACATGGATTAACAGCATTCACATACTTGAGAATGACAAGAGGACTTCTTGATGATGGAAATGCATGGGGACAATTCACTAATTTTGTTAGTAGAATGAAATAATACAACTTAATTTAATAATGTTTAACTTTCATTTCATGTTTAACTTTCATTAATTACATTAAAAAACTTTAAATGAAATACTGAATTCAAATTAACATAATGAATTATGACATTAAGGTAATGAAATGTATTGAAACTATGAATTGATAAATCAATTGTGATGAATGAAATAATAAATATTGTAGTTGATTTATAAAACATAAGATTTTGTACAACATATTAATTTTATTCTTTCAAATTTATTCAAAACATTAACTTACACAATTTATGTATATTTCTTCTTTGATTTGAAGATAACAATGAATGATATTCATACAATAAACAAAAATATTTCTTAATAAATTAATCGTCTTAGAATTACAACATGTTCATTTTCAGTAAAAGACATTTTCACATTAACACACAGAGAAACAGAATAACTGTCTTGAATCAAAAATACATTTTTCTTACTAATAAACATTTTCTTTGATTCGGTTGAAAGTAACCAATTAAACGACAATGAAACATTAAAGAAAATAATTGCTCAAACACATTAATACCATATTCTCAACATCACTTAGGAAAATAGATTTTGTAGAACAGAAAATAAAAAGCATAAGACTCATTTATTTCTAAAAATAAAGTTTCAATCAAATTCAATCTACAAAAAATGTTTGAATTATTAGGTATGTTATTGATACAAAATATTCCTTATTATATTAATAGTATATAGTCTGTGAAATGAATAATTATATGAAATAGGATAAACAATTCTTCATTTAGTAGACGATGGTTTAAAAGAAAAGTGAATAATTGTTTCAAAAAACTATAATTTCTTTCATTGCTGTAAAATACACACTAAAACAAAACTTCCAATTATAATGTGTTGATAAATAATAAGATATTTAATTATATGGTGTTGAAGTACTAATCCCATTTTCAAAAGTTACTATAAACAACGGAATAAAATACAAAGAAAATATAAAACAAAAACTTAGTTACTTCTTTGCTATCAAAGCAAAACACCTTGGTGAGATGGAAGAATCAAATACTCTTTGACAACTCACTTGTTTACAATATTGTTGGAGATAAAGAACTCTATCAACAACAATTGATGATTCTAATACTGGTGCAATTAATGCACCAAGGATAATAAATGCTGCTCGTTCAACTAAGATTCCATTTATTGTTAGTTGATTAAAGATACTTTGTACATTCATGTTTGGTTCTTTTGTGTTTAAATATTCTTGAATGAACGTCATCAATCTCTCATTATAAGTTTTGTCTCTATAAGTAAATGAAGTTCGTTTCTGAATATTCCTTAAAGCACTTTCAAAATATTCATGAAAACTACCATTCTTTGTTTTACCAGTTGGATGGTCTTCTTGTGACCCAAGAGTTTTATACATAATAAATTCAAATACTGCTTTGAACGATTGTTGTTTCATCATTTTAATAAAGTCATCTTTACTCATTTTCATTGGATCAGCAAATGTTGATATTTCAGAATGTGCTAAATGGAAATGAATGGATTGTTTGACAAATTCACTCATAGGAAAACCATATTGTTTTTCATTGACATATGTTTGTTTCTTTTCAAGTGGATTTGTTTTCCAATTGTCTATCTCTTCTGTTAATTTATGATAACAACAACCAACAGCACAAATCATTTTAATTTGAGGGATATTAATTGAAAGTCTTAATAATGTTGGAGTGAGATTACCACAAGCATGTAAACAAGTCATAAGAAATTCTTGTGATGAAGTTAATTTTTGAACAATTTCCATGAATGCTTCTGATGTAATATCACTTGATAAATATTCACTAGCGACTTTGACGTCTTTCTTTGGTTCAATCTTTTCTATTTTAGCAACCTTTTGATTTCTATCTTTCATTGCTTTAACATATTCTTCTTTTCCTTCAATACCAATACATTCAATTCCCTTCTTTTGAAGCTCTTCCATCAAATAACCTTTTCCACTTCCTATATCAATAACACATCCTTTCCAATATTGATTAATTAATGAACTTAATTCTTTACACTCATATCCCTTCTTTTCATTCATCAATATCCATTGTTCTTTCTTTCCTTCAATATTTCCTTTAGGATATAATAGTTTACATTTATCAATAAATTGTTGTAAACTTAATGGTACTTCAATATAATATTTTTTTGGAATAATAGCTTTAATTTCGGGGTGAATTAATGCAAAGATATTTAATAAAATAATATCACTTTGTTCAGGGTATTGCTTTCCCATTGTTTTAATCAAATCAAAATATTGATTCCTCCATTCTTCATTTATTCTTTCATAAATTCCATTAATTAATACTCTTGTAGGTTTTTCAGTATTTAAATATTGACTTTCATTGTTATAATTATTTACACTAAAACAAACTTCATTTTGATTTAAGAAAGTAATCATTTCATTTTCATATTGTTGATAAGTTTCAAATGAAGAAGGTAATATTTCATGTTGTGTAGATAATAATTGCATGATATAAGTTCAAATCAGAAATATGAGTTTTTAAAAAAGACTTTTAAAAAGAAGAAATAAATAAAAAAAAAAACAAATAAACAAACAAATAAGAAAGTAGAATACAATAAACTATTTTACTTAACAATCACTTCTAATAATTATAATTCTATTACATGTGGTTATGTTCTAATATCATTTTAGTAATATTCCACGTTCTTGTTTTTGTTCTATAATTTAAATTAATTCTAAATGGACATTCAGTCTTTTTTGACCTTCTTTTCTTTATTCCTTTTGTCTGACAACAAATCTCTTCAGTAGGAGATCCTGAACAACTACGATACTTTCCACTGCATTGACACACAAGAACTACTTTCTTCTTAGTTCCATCTTTCATTGTTTTATTATTACCACTACCTTTACGTAAAACTACTCCACATCCTTCAGCCCATTCAGTAAGGAATTTTATTGCTTCTTCATATGACTGAAATTCTTTCTTTCCTTCATATTTTGTATATCGTTTAACGTCTAAATCCTTTGGAACAGTAAGTTCACTTTGGTTATAATTACCTGGAACACTTTGTGGTCGACTTCCATGCAATATTTCATTCTGGTTTGGAAGGGCAATTGGAGAAAACATTGATCGGTGTACTGGCTGAAGTACAACCTCTCCTGTTGCTGAAAATGGACGAGGATGTCCCAAAGTACTAATTGGTTTAGTTGAGAATGACGTAGTATTAATAGGAGAAAATAATGTTCTTTCAATCATTGGAGATATAGAAGTACGTTGTGTAGTATAAAGTTTAGAAGGCAATGATGGTTGAAGGGAAGTTTCGTTTAAATTAGGAGTATCTTGTCTCTCTATTTTTATTTCTGACATTTCCTGATCTTGAAAAGGTAATGGATGTTGTTGTGAAGATGTATTTGTTATATGACTGATTTCACTGGAATAATTATAAGTTTGATTAACAACTGGAAGTTGTATAGAACCAAGTCCAGAAGAAATACGACATGACATAGTTTCTTCATTAGGAAGTTGTATTTGTGTGTTTTGACTTATAGATAATTGGTGTGGACTATCCATTGTAATAGGTCTAAAATGACATGTTTGAGGTTGAACAACATCATTAAGATTTGGTTCTAACATTGATTCGTATTGATGTTCTGAACTTATTGGAGAGAATTGAGTATATCTAATTGGTTGTTTATTGAATTGGGTTTTTCTTTGATTAAATAGAGAATAATGTTGGTTTGTGGTATCAATAAGCGGAAACATCAATTATAAAAGGTTGTTTCATTTTTGTTTTTCTCTCTTTTTATTTTCTAATAAGTTAAAAAGAAATGAAGTAATTTTTACTATATTTGTATTATATTTTTTATGTCTCTAAAAATAGAAAAATAATAATAAAATTCTTTGTTATTTATTTTTTGCAGCTTCCTTAGTTTCAAATGAAGAATGAACGTAAAATAACGATAGTTTAAAATAATATTTTTTATTATAAATTTACTATAAACTATGAATATATTAATGATGTTTCACACTATTTCTTCTTCTGTAGGAAGTTTTATCTCACTGTCATCTTTTGAAAGCGAAGTATCTTCAGTAATACAAATTTCTTTATCTAATTCTTCATCTATTTGATCAATATCTTCACTATTAAAAAATTCTTCTTCTATTTCTTGTGCTTTAGAAATATTATATCTTTGTTCATTATCTAACCAACACCCATCTGTAAAAATAAATCCATCTCTCTTTTCATCAGTGATGATCATGATTGCAGTAAGTGCAACAAATTGAATATTTTCTTTTCTCTCACAAACTAAATAATATGATTCATCATCTCTCTTTTCTCCTAACTCAACATACCCAACACATTTTCCATTCTCTAAGACATTTAATTTTCCATATTTGTCTTGTCTAATTACAATTGAATCTGATTCATCTCCCCAAACAATTGAATTTTCATATAATCCTAAATACCATTTACCATGTACTAATTTTGCTGTAGAGTCATACGTTCCTATTAATCTAATGATTGGTTCACAATTTTCATTTCTTTGAACACTAATAACACTTCTTCGTTGTTTTTTACAATGAAGTATAACCCTAAAAAATGGAGTTCCTGGAATAATATCTTTATTTGGTATTTCATTTAATAAACAGAGATAAAAGTAATCTTTACCAAAGAGTTGACTAGTTAATGTTATTTCTTTAGAAAGACTCATTTTACTAAATAATAAAGGTGTATTAATACAAAAATAATTTTGGTTTTTAATACAAATAAGACCAACTTGACCAAAAGGTTCTTCATCTTTTTTTGGGTATATTCCTTTTTCTTCTTGCAAATAAGCATATAAAATTCCATTCTTTAATTGCCATCTTGTACATCCTTTTTCTTTTTCTGTAATAGTAAGTTTGAATGGATAAGTTCGTTCATATGTTAGTCGCATATTTTTACCTATACATGGAACTCCAAGTATTGAACTAACAGAAATACAACATGTTTGAGAAAGTACATCTGGTTCAATCATTTCAAAGAGTGTTTGATTTTGTTTATTATTATTTGGAACAAGAAGTATTTTATTTCTTAATAATCCAGGTACACAAGACATATATTGATATGTACTTTCATCAGACCCAATTCTATAAGAGAAAGTCCAATCACTAATCATCTAATTTATGATAGAAATTACTGATAATTTTAAGTTTTAATTTTACTGTCATCTTCTATTCTTTTCATTTATTTAATTAGATATAAAAAAGAAGTTAATTGACAAATAAGAAACACAAAACCTTCTATTAGTTAAATAAAATTCCTTTAATTTAGAAAGTACATAATTATTTTTATTTTAAGTAAATTTAATACCATCAGAATTACCAAAAATATTGATAAGTAGAGGATTATATTAATTGTTTCATCAATAACTGCATATTGTTCATTTCTTTTATTTTCTTCTTTTGTTTCTTCTTCATGTTCAAGAAAATGTTTTATTTTCTCTTTTTCTGCTTCTTGTCTTTTTTTTAAAATTGTTAAAACATCATCTTCTTGAGTAATTTCTTCTTCTTTTTCTTTTGTGTCTTTTACAATTTCATCTTCTAATTTTGTAAGTAATTCCTCCTTACTTTCACTATTTATTTCATTTTGAGTTATTACATTACTTTCTTCTTTCATAATCTCTTGATTTTGATTATTATTATTTTCTTTTTCGGTGATTATTTCATTATCTTTTTCTACATTTTCTAATTTATGTTCAATCTTATCAGAGTCTGACAATTTGGATAGTACTTCTTTAGAAGTAGTACTCGTTTTTGATTGATATTCAACACTTTCAGTTGAATTCTTTTTACCACTTTCATTTTCTAGCATAAATACTTTCTTTAATTCTTGGTGATTTGCACCACAAATAGGACAAGTGTAATATTGTGATTTTATAGCAAATTCTTTTTTTATATCTGAACAAGTTTCTAACCCACCAACAGCACCTGCTGCAGGGGTTAACATAAATGCTCGAATTGCTTCAAGCATTGAAGAGATACTCCAAACAGGAGTCCATGTTTCTGGATGAAATGAAGTAATAGAAAGACATATTTTTGTGTTAATAGCAAATCTACCATTTGGAGTAAAGAAATATACTTCAGGTGGATTTTTTGGATAGTCATAAGGGAAAACAAATTTACCATGATATATTCCTTCAGCAAAGTCTGTTTCACTTTGTCCTTTGAAACTAAAATGACATTCATGCACAGATGATTCAATCAAATAAATAGTCATGTCTGGTGGTGGTGATTTTAAGAAAGCAGCATATTCTCTTTGAAGTCGTTTAACACTATTCAAATTACTGGTTTGTTGCATTGTTATTATTTTTATGTTTTTTTTTCTAATTTGTTAGTTTAACATTTTTTTTATAAATTTCCTTTTTTTTTTTGTTTTAAAAAATAAAATTGTTAAAGAACTAATTAAAATTGTGTTATTTTTTTATTACAAAAGAATGTGGGTTATTCTTGTTTTATTAGTGGCAATTCTCTCTATTATTATTTTATTGTTAATGTTTCAATTTATTGATCCATTGAAAACAAAATGGTATGTAACATTCTTTGTTTTTCTTGGTTGGGGAATGTCATTTGCTATTCCTATTTTATTACCAATTGATATTTCATCAGTTTGATTTATTTCATTTAAATTATTATTAATTAATATTCATTCATCTAATGTAGTCTTTATTTGATAAATGCGTGGAACAACAAAATAAAGTTTGTGATGAGCCATTTACATATGTTGATAAAAAAACTTTAGTTGTATTATGGAATTTATTATATTGGGGAACAACCATATTATGTTGGACAGCCATTCCATTTTTACAATCATATTGTTCAGCAGGAGATTTTCATGTATTAGAACGAATAAAAACATCATTACGTGAAAATATAATATTTTATTTGGTTGTAGGATTTGTTTGTGGAGTATTTTTGATATTATTCTTAATTTGGAATGAAAATGGAGATTGGTTAGGTATTGCTATTGCAGCAGCAAATGCATGGGGATTAATTATGGTTATTGGAATGATGGGGTATGGTATTGTAGCTGTTCCAGCTCGATTAATTAAGAACATATCATCAAAACATTATTTAAATTCATTATATTCTGAAATTAATGATCTTACAGAAGAACATGAAGAAGAGGAAGGAATATTATCAGAACTTATTACTCTTGTTAAGAAAGCAGATGAAATTATTCCAATTACTGACCCAATGAGGAAATGTGTTCTTATAATTATAAATGAAATTGACCCAAAACGTTATGAAGCAACAGAACCATCAAGAGACTTTGTTAAGTCATATGAAAATCTTAGTGAATTACATGCAAATATTCAATTTCAACAATTAAAAGTTAAACAAATATTTTACACATTACATAGTAATGTAGATCAAGTATTAAAATATGAAAGTATTAATAATAAAAAAGCTCCTTTATTTCAAAGAATTTATTTCAATGTAATCAAAAAAATAGTTTCAGTCATTGCATTAATTTTATTTATTATTTATTCTTTAACAGTCTTTTCAAGTGAATTATTACTTCCATTCAATCTCCCTATATTATCTCCTCTTTATTACATTATTCAATCAATTGAATCATCTGCATTTCTTTTACTTATTGTAATTACTGTTTTTGTTATTTATATTGCTTGGTGTGTTTATCAAACATTAATATCAATGAAATTATTTGATTATTATCAATTATTTAATAATCGTTTATCTGATCCTGGGTCAATGCTTTTTTCTGCAGCATATTTATGTCGTTTATGTGCACCTTTAGCATTAAATATTCTTCATATGATCAAATTTGATGGCGTTCATTTCAATGGGACACAAACTGCTTTTCAATCAGTAATGTCTTCAATGGAAGATATTCCATTCTTTGGTCAAAATAGTTTCAATGATTTCTTCCCTGTTTGTATTGTTATTGTTTCTGCATTCAGTTTGTTGAATCATTTTATTCCAATTCCTTTGATTTTCAATTCAATTTTGAAATTTTTTGGAGTTAGAGACCATAATAAACTAACTACTGCACAAAAAATAAAAAGAGGAAAATACATTTCTCAAATATTCTACACTCGATATGCTGATTATATGTTTACTTTAAATGCAAGTACTCATTTATTAAAACAAAAAGATGATTAATAATTTATTATATCTTTCATTTTATGGTTTAATGATATTTTTATTTTATTTTTTATTTCTTATCTTATCTTATTGTTTTGATTTGTATTTCATCAACTGTTTCTATATGAGACATTATAAAATACTTGTTAATAGTAACTCTCTTATTTTCATTACAATCGAATGAAATTTGTGTGTCTTTTTTTGTTTTACAGTTATTTTAATTGTATTATTCTGAATAAATCAAAAATTAACTTTTTAGTCTATAACATACTTGGTTATTCCATCTTTCTATTCACATTTCATTTACTTGTTAATTGAATATTCAAATTAATTGTTTGACAATGTTCAATTTTATTTATTTTGTATGGTGTTTAATTAAATTAGATTTGAAGTGATATTTATCATTATTAATTACACTTTTAATCATTTATTAGAATCATAAACGTTTGTTTCATTCATTCACTTATGAAATATAAATTAATGTCTTCATTGAATGAAGATTTTCAAAATTCTTGTTAACTTGAATAGTAATTACATAGTAACTTTGTTGTATTAAATTGTATATCAGTTAACATTATAAATTTTAATGAATATGACATATTACATAGTCTATT